CTCATTCTGAAGTGCTGTCTTTTAGCATAGCAACTGACTGAATACAGCTCTTGGACTGTCAGATTCTGTGATGCCTGTTGGGGTTCTGGTGTGAGGGATGCACTAGGGACTCTCTGCCCATCACCCACCAGCTCTTGTCCTACTTTTTCAGTGCCAGGTTCTTCTCATGTTCAGCCTGGGTACTCATGCAGTTCTGTTGCCTCACATTTAGTACTTGTGCCCTGGTCACATTTTCCCCGTGATTCATCACTTTTTTTCATTGTTTTACATGAACATTTTATTGAACTTTTTTTAAATAATTTTTTAAATAAAATTTGATTTTATTTTATTTAAAACATTTTCATTGTTTTACATTAATATTTTATTGTTCCATAGCTCTGTTTCAATTGTAGCTTCTTTTATTAGATGGTTTAGGTGTCGTCATATTTGGAGGAGTATTTGTGGAATGGGATAATCAATATTTTTACTAATGATTCTTCAGAGGATTAATAAAGGTTCCTCAAAGCTTTCCTACATGTATGACCTGAATATTTGTATCTGCATGCAACCCCAGATCATCTCTCTTTAGTGAAAACACTTGATAATTACAAGAATTTGAATGAGTATTTCAAGATTTTGACACTTTTAAATTTCTTTTCCGATCCAGTGCCTATCAGTCCTCACATTGGGCACACACTGGATGACAGAGACATGTGCTAGGACATGGAGCAGAGCGCATTTGCTTGCTAGGGAACTTCACAGAGTATGTCTGTTCCTGTGATGAAGCGTGACTACAGAATGAAACTGTGACTGGCAGAATGTGCCTTCTACTGGTGATTTTCAGCTGCAGCACATCATCTTAGCACCACTCCTGCTGCAGGGTCTTGTGGGCCAGACATAGTTAATGGGCAGATCACAGCCTAGGTCAGTTGGTCACTGCATCTTGGTGAGATCCTGGGCCAGGAAATGTTCCCTACTTATCCAGTGCTAACATAAGAGGCGGGCACTATGGCAGTGGGATGTGAGGTGAAAAATACAATGTTTAAAACTTAGTAGATCTGAACTCACCATCAGAATTTTCAAAAAAAGCATCTGAGATGTTGCTATAAAAGTATTTTGAGGAGCTGCTGCCATTTCTCTGTTATCCTCTGTTCCTCCATATTTTAAAATTCAATTCTTTTACTATCATTTATGGCAATTGTTCTTCTACATCCTTTAAGTGCATCTTTGTTGCTAGACAGTGGAATCACCAGTCATCTGTTAGCAGTGATATGATTGGATTAATTTGTAAAAGTTGAATTTTGGAAGTTTATAATGTTGTCTTGAGTTTACAAATTATGTTGGAATATTTATCTAACATACCTAACATACTTGCATATTATTCCAAGTACATTCTCATGAAAAATCCCAGTATTTATAATTATTTTTTATTTCAAACGTAGCATTTAACACATATGACAAATAATGTTCATGTCTAATCATAAGAAAGTACTTGTCATTTTTCAATGAGTGGACTCTTTATGTATTTTAACTGTCAATTAGCAATGGTTCATTGATGTTTTCCCTGTTCAGGAGATAGTTTTGTGAGGGCAAGAGAGGGCCTGAACAAGTATTAGAAATGATCCCAGCATGTGCAAATTACAGCTATTTGATGTCAAAAGAACCTATCTTCACAGGATATTTTTTTCCTAATTCTTTCCTAGGAATTAGAAAGAAACAAACATGATTTGTGCTACCAAATTACTATACACAAAATACTTGTATATCTGGAAATGAATTATGTATAAAGGTCCACTTCATATTCTGTGCCTATATGCAAAACTAAACCCTCTTGCTACTCCGCATGTGAGCTGTTTGATTTCTTCTGCTGGTGTCACAGACTAAGGAACTAATTAGGAATTCTACTGCAGGTGTAGATTAGAGAATAAGACTATCAAAATACAAAGATTAAAAAACTGTGATACACATCTTTAATCCCCTGAGCAACATCTTTAATAGTTAAATTTTAAATGTCATTGTTTGGTATTTAGTATCCTGGTAACATAATTAGCACAACAAGACATACTAAACAGATACTCTTTCTGTGTGTTCATAATCTAATACCAGGAGGAATCAGAGAAGAGATAACCAGGCATCTAGTTAAAACATAAACTGTGTCCTTTTTTCTAATTGGCGTATGAATTAAGAAAATTTCTCTTTATATAGTTCTGCATACCTGGATTGTGCGGTTCTGAGTATTTTAATTAGCAGCTTTCTTACAGATGGATTTTGTAAATTTTGGATCTACAGAAAGACTTGTAGACACTTTGGTTTGTGCCGCTGGAGAATTTCATGGTCTGTATTGAAGCTTGTAAGTTAGTCTCTTCCTTGATTAACATATCTGCCTTGTTCTGTATGGGAACTGCTCTTCTAGTCTGTGAGGAGTCTGGGAGGAAGGGAAGAAAAGCCAGTACTGAAGCTTTTAATGAGGCGTGTTAGACTCATTAAAAACTTGTTGCTACATACTAAATTGACTTACTGGAAACATTAACAACTTTTACCTTTGATTAAAAATTATGAAAAAAAAATAATTTTAATGGTTGCTTTTTGTTCTTCATCTGTCACTGTTCACAGGTTCAGGTCCTACTGATCAACCATGAAGGTCAGAGACTTCCTTTTGGTTTCAATGAGTCTAAGGAATTTTGGGAAAATACACAAATCATGAGAGGCAAAAATGGTCAAAAATTACAGTACTATGTCAGTGACAGAAATGTGTATCAAGATCTATTTTGCTTGAATAAAATTTGCATTATTGATGCCATTATTGTATGTGGTAAGCAGTGTAGGGTATAGCATCATGCAGCTTGGAGAAGAAATAGGAGCTATTTTTGGGATCCAGAAGCAACATGGGTGTGATCTGTTTCACAGCACTTCACAGGCTAAGTGCCTGGGCAGTTAAGGCCATGCCATTGTCTGACTTATCCCAACTGAAGATCTCGCCCTAGTCCAATACCCCCAAACTATATATGACAGATCCTGAGTGAAACATTCTTCTTTCCAGGGCTTATCTAGATGCGGTGAGACTTACCCCCAAATGCACAGGGGATAGAACTCCATTTCACCTACCATAGCTGAAAAGGAGGGTGATTTGCCTTGGAGGTGAACAGAGTGGCTTTAAATAGTTTGTGAATTTTGTAGGAGCTTTGTGGTCTAGAGGGCTTCTTGAATCAGTACCCGAGTGTTCTGGCATGGTTTGTTTCCGGTTCATCTATGATTCATGAGTGCTGAGAAGTTTGCGTACTGCTGTGGTGTGTGTCACCTATTTATGTAAGTTTTGAAATACACTCAGTTAACAGCAGTTTGAGTGGTGCTTTGTATCCACACTGGTAGAAGGGCTAGTAGCCTCTTGCTCAAGGCTGTTTGTACTGCCTACTATACCATCTAGCAATGCACAGTAGCCAGGGAAATATAGATTATCCAGGTTAATTACTGTATAGGACAATTGTAATGGTTTTGTACTGACCAAACACCTCAGTGAGTTTGACTCTCCATCTTTCATCAAAGTATATAAAAATGCACATTTAAAAAAAAGTTGTGTTTCTATGAAATAGATGTTTCCTGTGCTGTAATGGCTTTAGAAAACTTATCATTCTAATTTGCTTTTGATCACTGAACCTTGTACATTCCTTGCTTTCACATCACAGGGGGTGGTGTGTATGTGTATAAATGGGGTTTTGGTTCTTTTGACCCCAGTTTTACCCTAGGGGAATGCAAATATTTGTTCTTAATTTTCCTGGGCACATTGATTAATGAGTAGGCCATTGTAACAAACTGGCAAAGCTATGGCTCATTGCATTAGCTGATAAATTTGGAATGTGACATTGTGTTGAAATATTTAAAACTTCAAAAGCTTAGTTATAAAGTGATGTAAGTAATGAGTGTGATGTTCATAGCACACAAGACCATATTAATACAGCAATAAGGAAGACCAGCTCTTAAACCTCAAACCAGCACAGAGATCTCGTTCAGGGAGGTTACGTTTTTTGACTGTTGTTTTCCTACTGTCCAGTATGGCTTTATAAATATGTGTAAACCTGTAAATCTTGCAGTTGTTCAGTTGCTCCGTTTGATGGGGGATGCTTCTGGTAAGAAAAGGAAATAAATCAGATAGTCATCCCATTGCTTAGCTATAGATAATTAGCCTGTGTCTTCATGGCAGCCTGTGAAAGTGCTTCCAGACCTCTGTATTTAGCATGTCTCTAATTATTTAATATACATTGAAGGGAAAAGAAAAGCTAAGAATGGCATGTTTTCATTTGAAACTATTATCAAGTGCTTACAAGTCACCTTTTTAGAAACAAAATATGCAGCATGGTATACAGCTCTGATATACAAGGATCAGTTCTCTGAAGTGTCACGTACCTCTTGCAAGTATGAGGTAGCCAATGGAGGTTGGGTAGTTTTCTGCATTTGTCGCACTTTCCAATCTATGTTTGAATAATAAGTGTGAAAAGTGTAATGTAGCATTCACAGAAGCAAAAATTTTATTCATGAGGATCAGCAAATACGTTCACACCAATACGCATCATTTTGCTACATCTTCATTTTAGGGATCATGTCTTTTACCTTTTACTGGTTAACACATTTCTGAAGAAAGAATTGAAAACTATTCTTTTTTTATTTGTATATTTCAAACCAACGTGCAGGTTGCTCAGAGTCCTTGTGTGAATAGCTGTTCTCGATGATGGTTTCCCTGTAATGCCATATCTGTAATGTTCTCTTCCCACTCTAACACTTCCTTGAGTTAGAAGCATTGCATGACCAAGCCCATCTGTAGCGTTCTAAAAAGGAGCAACATGTTTTCAGTTAGAAAATAGAAATTTTTGTATGAAAATTATATTAAATTGTTGTATATATGTATGCACACACTAATCAAAATGGTTTTCTTACAAAAACTGTTTTTCATATATGTACATATAATAGTATACCTGAGGTAATGGTTTGGCTGCTGATCATTTTGTTTTATTTTCTTTTGCCAACAGTCTACAGTGGAAGATGTAAGTACCTAACGTAGATTATGCAATGTGTTTTATGTTTGCCAAGTGTTTTGTCTGTGTTTTGTTAAATTTTATGAACATTTAGTATATTTTTTAGTATATGGGAAAAATCTATAAAATGCTGTTATAAAGCAGCTGTGAGGGTGTGATTTTTTTTTACCTGGTTTCAGTTAGATTCTGATCTGCATATTTTTAATTTCGAAGGAATGTTAGGAGGCACTTGGCTGCAGCTAACATTCAGCAACACAAATTCAAGCACAGTGAATTATGACTGAAGGTGAAAGCTGGGCTCTGAGACTCTCTGTAGAATTAATCTGAAATTTGAGTGTTTACAGAGATCTCAAATGCTGCAGATTGATCCCCACTCCCAGAACCTAGGCTGTGTTGAGTTTAGCTGCTTTGTTTTTCCTGGACTCTACAAGGTGCATTGCAAAGTTATTTCACAGGTGGTAATGCCTCTCTGAAGCAAGAAAGATTCACACTGCTGTTGGTGTAAGAGGCACTGTGGGAAATAACAAATTCTTTGTAGAATAGAAAGGTAAAAAATATGGTGGTTTTGAATGTCTGTAATCCCACGGTGTATTTCCAGCAGTGTTTAACTCTTGTTGCCTTGCAAATTCTCATCTGATTGATTTGCCTTCAGCTTACTTAAAGTTCCCTATGTGTTTTAACTGAATAATGCTTTCTCCTTCCTCCCCTAAATGCTTTGCGTTGCTGTTGTATGTTCTTGTGTAATACCTCAGATGAGTATCTCATCATAAATTATGAAATGTTGGCAACATTTGTCAGTAGGATATGGAAGCTGCCCATGAAGGGGTCTTTTTAAGCAAACTGAAAATGTACAAAATCTAAAGATAAAATCATAATGAGGCCAGACCACTGATTAATGTAAATCTGCTTACAATTGCTGACGTAAATGGGAAAGTGCTGATCTACATCAGCTGAGAATGTGACTGGTGAAATGAAAAGAAAATAAAGGGTTTACGGGGCTAGTGATGCTCATCTCTTAATGTAAGCACAAACTTTCACCCAAGACCACATCGTTGTTAATATGTAACTGCAGTGCCAGAGGGGTCAGGCTATTCCAGACACTGCAGCACTGTGGTACCTCCTACAAACAAAATAGAAATAGTACCATGTATTCTTTAATTAAATCCTGGATTAGGTCTTCCGCTATGGTGGTTTGTCATAACTCTATATGCTTCAAAGGAACTAGATTGATTTACAGTGGCTGAGCACTTGGTCTTTTATTAATGTATACTTCTGTGTACTGAAATTATGTGGCTTGCTTTTCATAACTGTAAATAGTTTAACACTGGTCAGACAGAAGTTCCAAACTCTGTGAGGTAGTAGCTTGAAGACTGTGCCAAAAAAAACCCCAACACAACAGGACAGGTTAATGAGAAGAATGGTGTATAGGGTGAAGGTTTTTTTGTTTGGCTTGTTGGGGGTTTTTTGGGGGTTGTTTGTGTAATATATAATATTGTATAATCACAGTGCGGTATAGATCTAGCCAAACTGTTTTTAAAAAGGTGGTTTCAGAGCAGTTGAAGGTTGCTCGTGCTGAGTTTTTGTGCTGTTTTACTTGGAGAGCTTGATATACTATGCTCTAGCCAGAACGTACATTGGGCATCTGTAAGTTATCTCTTTTGCATTGTGGAATACTGTGTTATACTATATTGTAGTTGCTCACATGTCTGCATCCTTGCCAGCTTCAAAATTAAAGGTGTTGTACACAGATCATTTGCAGCACCCCTCTGCAGGCACTTCCCTCTCTTTTTCTTTTTAAATTTTCTTATACTTTATATAATTATTTTCTTCTTTCCTCTCATTTGCAGTGTCAGAGTGTCCCTGTGTCCTGGATGAATATAAAGAGTTTATCTTTCTTTTGGCCCCTGAAGCAGATCAGGTGTAAAATGTGCCTTCAGGAGGCAAACAGTCCCAAAGACACTAGTTATCTCTCCTTTTCCAGACAAATAACAGTGGCCTAAGCATCTGCCCAAGAGCATGTGGACCCCAAGAAAAGATGCAGTGTCCTTGTCCTCGCTGTTCATGTTGGATGTGGCCAAAGATTATTCAAAGAATTCTGTACCACCATGGTCCAGCACCTGCTTGATTTAGTTTGGGCTACTCTGTTCCAAGCTCCCAGAAACTGAGGTCTTGTCTATGCACTAAATACTTATGAGTGTTTTAATAATGTCATAGTCATCTTAGCGTTTCCATGCACTGACTTTTGTGGTATTACGTTAGCAAGTGTAATATTGCACTAAGGTATTCTTTACACCTTTTAATATAGGAAGTATATTTGATTTAAACACACTTAGCAAAACAACACAAGGTTGTATTTTGCTCTCGTTTAGATCATGTTTAGGTAGAAAAGACAAATATTAAGTCTCTGCTCAGGCTGGTCCTATCTTACAGTACCCTGCAGTTTGCTTGTTTCACAACAGGGCTGACTTGTTAGGCCACAGAAGGCTGCCAGAAATGTTGACGACTCTTTAAGAGAGTAACCCAAAACACAGACTTGCAAGCTGATGCCACAGTATCTATTATTGGCAGAAATACAATCCTTTGAATAATAAATGAGCTCTTAACATCTGTCAGGTTGCTTGTTTTCTCAGGGGCCCAGTGATTGGGCTGCATGCAAGAACATAATGGCCTTCTGAGGAGCCTACATCAAAATTAATGGTTTCATGAGCTTGCAGGAGCACCTAAATAATTGGGCACACCTGGGACTATCCTAAAGGGCTCCTTTATGCTTAACAAATGCTTTCTAACTAGTTCCATGTTGTGGTTTAACCCCAGCTGGCAACTAAGCACCATGCAGACATTCGCTCACTCCTCACCTGCACCTGGTGGGGTGGGGAGGGGAATGAGAAAAAACAAGTAAATCTTGTGGGTTGAGATAAGAACAGCTTAATAATTGAAAGAAAATAAAATATAATAAAATTAATAATAGTAATAATAATTGTAATGAAAAGGAAGATAAGAAAAAGAGAGAGAAATAAAACCCAAGACAGACAAGTGATGCACAGTGCAGTTGCTTACCACCTGCTGACCAATGCCCAGCCAGTTCCTGAGCAGTGATCAGCACCTGCCAGCCCACTCCCCCAAGTTTATATCCTGAGCATGATGCGCTATAGCCATGGAATATTCCTTTGGATAGTTTGGGTCAGCTGCACTGGCCGTGCTCCCTCCCAGCTTCTTGTGTACCTCCTCACTGGCAGAGCATGGGAAACTGAAAAACCTGTGATTTAGGATAAGCACTACTTAGCAACAACTAAAACATTAGTGTGTTATCAACATTATTATAAATCCAAAATACAGCACTGTACCAGCTACTAGGAAAAAAATTAACTCTGTCCTATCTGAAACCAGGACATTCCAGTAAAGTGTGGATCATTGAAACCTGAGTGTTGCAGACTGGATCAGGGAACTTAGTTTGATGGACTGTTTGGAGTGTGTAAGAGCTTGAGCATAGGTCTCAACAGCATAAGTAAGCATCAGAAATGGATGAGGGATCAACTTTTAGAAAAAGCAATATAAAGCTTTACTAGTTATACACTGAATACTATATCAGGGATTAGCCTGACAACCTAGCAGCTATGCAGAAAGGGGCAGCCAAAGGTAAGTCATCCCTGCTTTGGATGCACCTTGTGTTTAGAGCCTAAATAGTAGGACCTGATGCTATGGAAGTAATTCAGTATTACCTCAGCCTTCAGTAGCATACTCTTTAGAGAGTTATCTTATTTTTTCTCTATTATGAAGCTCTCTATTAGATAGCTTAGATTGGGCAAATAACCAATAATGGCTGTCGGCAGCAATAGAAATATTTTCAGATGTTGCAGTTTAAGGTGTGTTTTCTTTTTCTTCCTAGAGGCTCATTAAATTTTTATCTCAAATTTTGATGACATAAAGTACCAGTTATGCTCTGAAAAATAAGCTTTAAATGTTTCTGCAAGAATGGCTGAGTTCCTAAATTATTTGGCAGTCTCCAAAAAATTTTTTGCCTCCCCTAATGAGCTGTTATAACAACCCTTAGTCTCTTTCCAAGCCTGTAGTAGTAGGTGTGAATCTTCCACCTGATTCAGAGCAGGCTGGAATTAACAGCAAGTCTGTTAAGGCGTAGCTTATATACAGTCCAGTACAAAATTTCTCATTGTATGAGGCCAAGACAAACATGTAACTACAAAATAGATTTTAGGAGTAGATATATTCCCTAGTAAATTGCTTGTGTAAAGGGAAGATCTCCAGCCATTCTAGAAGCCTGCTTCCTAGTCTGGTCCACAAGCACTGCTGACACAATGCGGCAGTAACCCCTTTCTTGTTGTCTCTCCTCTTGTAGAAGTCTCTGGCCAAAATAATTGCTTTGCACTGAGCCTCAGATCTCTGTGCCCCTGCTACTGCTGTTGCTTGCTTCTGTTTAGTCACTTTGCTGTGCAAAGGCTAGTTCTGCCTTCCTCTACCCCTGAGCAGTGTAGGCTTTTGTGTCTCCTGAGTCTCTCTGAAAATGGAAGATTGGGAGGGTTACACTGCTCGCTAGCGCTTTTGAGAAAGAGGAGAAGCTGAAGTGAGTTGAATTCAGAATAGATACGCTTCTCTTTTACCAGCTATTGACAACAGATTTTCTTAATCAGATTTACTTGTTTCTGTCTTTCACCTGAAGGCTTGTACATCAGGGAATACCAGTTTTGGTTTTGTTTTCTTGATTGCTTTTTCCCTGAGAGAGCTATCTTAGCTCCAGAATTTATGTACTTGGTGCAGAGTTTGCTGTGTGAGGTTCTTTGGGTTATGTGGGAAGTCAGATTTGATTATTTTAATAGTAATTTTTATCCAGTTTTAATATCTAGAGGTTAAGCACCTCTCTTGCTTTTTTCAGTACATACAAGAGAAAGATCTGGAAAGGAGTCCTGCCAGTACTGAATGAATTTGTGTGAAAATCGAAGCAAAAACTTAAAGCACTGGAGCCCAAACAATTTTTCATAATTAAAATTAAATGGGAAGTTTTGGTTAAGTCAGCACAGAATGCTATAAAGCTGCAACACATCACATAATTAGACTGTTTTACATAGTGACTGGAACCTTGCCTGTTTAAATAAACTTTGTACATCTATTGGAAAGCATGTCTCTGTGCATGCTGCCTATTTAATCCTTTAAGCTTTTTTGGTCTTTTTTAGAAATGTAGCCCACTTTTTAAGACATGTACTGTGTCTTTTGAATGTTTGCTTGGGTTTGACACCTTATTTTGAGGATTAAAAATTTTTCCTAAAAATTTTGAAGTTTGTGTTTACCTCTTTTTTTTTTTTTTTTATTATTATTTAGAAAAAGTGTTTAAAAATGCAGTAGGGAATCCTAGCTTTCTGTATTCCATAACTTTCTGTTCAGTATAATGGCAGTAACGTTGAGCCACGTGATTGATCTCAATGTAGTGTCTGTTCAAAAAAGTACAGAGATTAATTAATAGTTAAGTAGCATGTTTTATTCTGAGAGCCAAAAATCTGAAGTTCACCTCACTGTGAGTCATTGCCCTAAAATGAGCATAGTATTCAGCAGCCTTTATAAATCACTGATGGATTTGTATGTAAAGACCTCTGTAAGAGCAAAAGTACTTATTACATAATAGCAGAGAGACCTAGAGATGGCATTTACTGTTAAAAAGAGAAGATAGTTTAATTGCCTGGGCCATGGTTATGAGCAGTAAAGACTAAGAAAGCAAGAATAGCATTTGGGAGTGTTGCTTTGGGTCTCTAGGAGTAACAGCTGAGAAGTCACCAAAGATGTCCATACAATTTTGACCTCTCAGTGGAAACCATATGCTGTGCCACACTGCACTGTAGTATACTATACTGTGGTTGTTATTCAACATGTTTATAAACCTGCAGCAGTAATTATATATGCTCTGTAGGAGGTGAATGGAATGAAATAAAGTGCATGTTTTAAAGAAGAACTTCTTTCTGCAGATACGCTGCCCCCCTTGCTGGTGGTGGTCAGGGAAAATTCTTTCCCAATGTATAATTTCTAATTCTTTTTGTACTTGTAGGTCAAGCCGGTTACTCACAGTAGAATCACCGTGTCAGCACGGTTTCGAAAACCACTCCTGGAGCCCTACACTATTTTGTAAGTAGAATTTTCAGTTAGTGAACTGCCATTTTGGGGTGGGGTGTAGGGTGGTGGTATCTTAACTTCAGATGAGTTTTGTTTAAAATGCTCCTCCAAATTATTTTTCTGTGCTCTATTTTAGCCTGATTGCTAATGGAGACCTTATTAGCCCCATAGTGCGCCTTCTTATTCCCAGGAAAACACTGAATCACTGGGATCATATTCTTGAAATGGTCACAGGAAAAGTTACCCTCAGAAGTGGAGCTGTTCACAGGTATCAGGATGCTGAATATTTGCAAGATACATTTGATATGTGTAGATATGTTTTTAAAACTCTGTAGGTAGATAAAATGGATCATTCCTCCTTCATGGGAAATTGCACTGTAAGAAAATTAAAATATATCAAAAAACCACAAAATGGAAATACGTTAACTCCAAGGAACCTTCAGGTTTCATCTCAACTGCTATTTAAAAAAAGGAAAAATCTCAGTTTGTTTCAACTGTTAGTTCTTGATTAAATAGTTAGCAGTCATGTAATAATATAATAATAATGCAATATTAGCATTAATAAATAAGTTACATGTCTGAATAAAATAAATGGGCACAGTACGGTTGGTGAAGATGTTTGGAATGTGCAATGATAGATGCAATCCATGGTACCTTTTAATTCTGATAGTTCTTTAAATTCATTGGGGCAAACAATTTCAAGGAAATTATTCTAGATTATTTGTTTTTTGAAGACCTGTGCTATGACTAGGATGTGCTTTATACTCAGCCAGCTCTGCCTCCTAGTAAGAGCCAAGACCAAAGTTGTAGTTGGGGGTTTGCCAATTCCAGTATCTCAGCTGGTCTGAGTTGTGGTGTCCCAGGAACAGGAGATGACCTCTTGGATAGGTGTCAGCTTTTACAGTGTAAAATAAGCTCTCTAAATAGGATTGGTAGTTGTTGCAAGTTTTAGAGCAAAATGATATATGCAGTTTCCATGAGAAACATTGCGGTGTAAGTGGGCTGCTAAGGTGTGCATAGGCAAATTACTGACATTCCAGTGTTGCCCCATGCAGAGCACATTACAGAAATCCGTTGGTCAGATGGGAAAGGGCCTTTTGTGGAAAATCATTCTTCAAAGCTTACGCAATGTCTGAGGGTAAGCTTGCAAAATCTTTCTGAAATCAGTGAAGATAAGGTAGTCTTTCAGTGCTGATTGCTTTCCCAGAGCAGATACAGATGATAAAAGATTAAGGTAATGCTATCTGTTGGCTATTAGCTCTCATCTAATTTTTTATCTCGGCCCTGCTTTTTTTTTTTCTTCTATTAACTGGCTACTTAGCACATTTACTTGCAGAAATGTAAACCCACACACATGTTGCAGCTTTCTGGATCTGACTCTCAGCTAGTGTAACTCAGAAGTAAGCAAAGTAACAGCCTTTTACAACATACCAATTCTTTCTGCTCTCAGTTTAGCAATTTAAAAACCTTTCACATTTTATTCTCATTACTTGGTGTCACTCCTTGGTGAAACTGAATGATGTACATGAAAGCATAAATTGTTCTGTACATAGCTAGGGTTGCATTTGAGAAGTTCCTTTCAGTGCTCAGTTTTAATCCTTTACAAAATAAGGTAGTGTACATGACATTTTGAATTATTTAATGTTTTCCTTTTTCTGGTTTTCTATTAACCCAGTTTTCATTTTCTTTTCCTTAAAATGCTAGGAATACATATTAAATACGTTAGTAAAGTGATCATTGTTCTTTAATAAGTTACACATTAATTGCTGGAGTTTACTGAAACTATGTTAGCATTAGGGGAGGTCCTGTAAGACCACTGATGCTGGGAAGATATAGTTTCTCTTTAAAGAAGGATAAGTGGAATTACAAGAACCTTCATTATGTATATGGCAGTTACTCTTTTCCATGATATTAAAAGACATACAAAGATATCGAGTCTTATGCAGTTTCACATATGGCTTTTTAAAAAAAAAATATTGATGATCCCCATCTGAATAGGGATATAAATAAGAAATATGAGAGAGGAGACAATGAAAAAGTAGCTTTTCTACTTGCCAGATTGTGCATGGGAATGGGGTACAGCAACCTGATGGGCAGGTGCCTGGTGCATCGCCAACTGGGAATTTGGGGATATTGATTCCACAAATTGTGTCTTTGCTGTCTCCTTTGTCAGCCTGTATGCTTGCTTTGTTTTGGCTGCCACGTTTTGGCTTGGATTCAGGAGGGAAAATGGAGGTCCACTGACATCCCACAGGACAAGCCCTAGGTCATCCCCCCATGACCAGAAGTTACTCCAAGGACATGTTTGTTGCATAATACTAGCCAGAGAGAACCCAGCTGGTCTGTGAATGGTTGTGGGCAGGTGTGTGGGTAGAAGGCTTCAGAAATAAGCATCAAAAAATTTGTGTGATGCTTGTTAAGCCAATAGTTATTTATTTGTTTGAAGTTCCATTTCTAAAAAATGCATTTTTAATTTCACTTTCACCTTCAGTGATTGGTTATATTTGATTCAATTATTGTGATATTGATTTGTGAAAAAAACAACTAGAGGTTGCCATATAATCCATAATATTTTTTTGGAGCTATATTAAGCAACCAACCTTTGTGCATCAAATATAACATTAAAACACAAGCAAAGTGAAAGATTAGGAACAAAACCCCACAGTCATTTTTGTATGTACCCCTATATACCTGCAGCACCATCCAAATCTATAAAACAGTTCTTAAACTGTGGTACACTGATCTGCAGCTTCCCCCCAAGTTCCTCAAAGCAAAATGTAATCTAGCAAAACACAGTGAGAATAATTCAGAAATAGACTTCTTGCTTAGTTTTAGATTGCTTGTTTTATTTTCATTGTTTGTGTGTAATTGATGCTGTCTACACGGTAGTGAAACATAAATTGCTCTTTGAATTGCTGACATGCCTGTGAAATGTTTGCACTAAAAAGTAAATATGAGTAATTCAAAGGAGGTGCTTCAGAGTTAGCATACCTCTTCTCAAAGAAGCAGCAAAGTGACCAAGATTTTAAAAAGCTGCAATTTCACCTTTGAGAACTTTCAGTGTTTGCACATAGAAAACCAAGGTACTTCTACATGGCAGGAGACACCTAAAATACCAAGGTACTTTCATGAGGGGAATTACAAGAGAGACACGGACACATTGGAGCTAGCACAGCAAAGGGCCACAAAGATGAAGGGCTTGAAGTTGGGAGAGCTGAGACTCTGCAGCCTGAGGAAGAGAAAGCTCAGGGGGATATTGTTAATGTGTATAAATATCTGGTGGGAGCAAGTGAAGAAGTTGGAGCCAGGCTCTTCTCAGTGGTGCCCAGTGACAGGGCAAGAACAAGGGGCACAGACTGAAATCAGGAAATTCCACTTGAACAGAAGAAAAAGAAATATTTTACTGTAAGGGTCACCAAACACAGGAACAGGTTGCCCAGAACACTTGTGGAATCTCCATCTTTGCAGTTATTCAAAACACACCTGGACATGGCCCAGAGCAACCTAGTCTAGTTGCATTTGCTCTGCATGGGATGGTTGGACTGAGCAGTCTCCAGAAATTGTGTCCAACCTCAGCTATTCTGTGGTTCCTGGTTCTATAAGCTACATCTTTTTTCTTCTGTGTTTATTCAAGGTTGTGCCCACTGTGCTTTTCTCTATTAAACTGAAAATTTTTGCACTTCGTAAGTCAGGGGTGCTCTCAAGGCAGACTCTTGAAATTCTTTCTGAAAAGTGTATGTATAATTTTATATCTCCTTGCCTTGTGTTGAAATTTAGGAATAATGCATATAGAAGCTTCTGTAGAAGGCTTCTAGAAAGACAAGATAACCATTCAACATTCCTGCATTTAAGATTTAAATGCAAAACTGTTAATGTTGACTTTTTAATGCCGAGTTTTGGTATATGCTTCTTAGGAAAAAGCTTATTTATTATTGAATGTTTCCTCCTTCCTTGTTGTTTTGAGCATCTCTAAATAAAATCACAAACTTGACAGTGAAGTAATTGAGATAGTGTAGAAATAATGCATTAACTGCCACCCCTCCATTCCCACAGTCCCTAATGCATTTCTTCCTTCTCAGTAAAGCATACAAACAGAAATTACTGTGTTAAAAATCTACCTGTCATAATAGACATATTAATTATTGGTATTGTAGGTGCCTAATATACACAGCTTCTTGTTTTTCTTGCTACTCCCAGCCTTACCCCATCAGGTACAGCCATGTGCCAAACTTCTGATCTACACATTATAACAACAGAAGTGCAATATTATCACCTTGGTTTTAGGTGGACAGGTACTGGGTTTTCAGTTGTGAGGCCATGAATGCCCCATTCTGAGGTTACTGCATAGTGCCCAGAGCACAGATGGGAGGTAGAAATTGGTATAAGGGTCAGAAACTCATGGAATAGAACCCTTCCAAGGTATCAGAGGAAAGGTATTAAGGACCTTCTACGTACAAAGCAATATATGTCATATTAGAAATTATAAGAATATTTTATTGTCACAGCACTTCATACTTGGTTAGTTTTATGTAAACTGTGATTTGGGTAATTATTTTGCTCTGTCTTTTCTTTTGGGTTTTTTTGTAGCAACTGTATGGCATCCACTGTACTTTATTTGGTTTCATATCTGGAAATTCAACATGATTTAGCGATTTTAGATTAATGTAGCTGTCAGTGATCTTAGTACACCTAATTTAACATTTATTTTATTAAGCATTTTCATATTTTTCAGACTTTATACTTTAGATGGAAAACTTGTTCAGAGTGGGTCTGACTTGGAGAATGGGCAAATTTATGTTGCAGTGGGTAGAGAAAAGTTTAAAAAGTTGCCGTATGGTGATCTGTTGTTTAGCAAATCTACAGTGAGGCGGCCACAGGGGTAAGTTCTATAGTTGTGTGATACACTTCTCACGTGCTTGTATGTGTCAATTTTTTTTTCAAGGTACCACTACTAAAGTGCAAAATCATCATTCCAAAAATGGGGGGGAAGGGAGGGAGAGAGGGAGGGAGGGAGG